TTTATTTATCAGTCAACAAGTTTTATTACTGAATACCGAAACGAAGATTCGAAGATATTAAATTCAGTGAATATAAAATTCTTTGGATTTAAAAACATCTCAATTCAATTGAAGTAGCATGTCCTAATTATGTTTTTATTAGATCAGGATTTTCAGGTTTAACCGTTTCCGTACTTATTCGCCAGGATCTCACTCACGTGCCCAGGTGCTACTTGGGTGAGTGGTAGGCGATAGGTACGATGAACCGAGTTTGTAAGATATTTAATTACATTGTTGGTGGCTGATACTTTAGGCCAGACCTTAGTAAATCATGTCGACGTAAGCCCCGCATTGTGTGTGTGGTTAGGCTACGGACTTGCGTCGGATCCTAATTCAAAAGATATCTCTCATTATTCGCGATAGTTAATCATTGCTACAACGAAGAGCAATATTGATCGAAATATAATTATAGACATTTTCATCGTAGTATGAAAGGAATAATGAATAAAACTATGTTATGAAGTTCAACAGTTATAATTATTTTAATAGAAATAAAAATAGTAAAAAATGAAAACTGACGAGAGACGCTACTTTCATTTAACATGCAATGGTCACTAATTTAGCCAGCCTCCTTTTATATATTTTGACCGGAAACTCTGAATGTCGCACATCCGCCACGTCCTCTCTGCAGTCCGGCAACGAACGTGCCACCGAACGATGTCATTGCGAACTGATCATTGTAATGACGTATATTTGCACGAAAATTACGCGCCTGTCGATTGTTTCTAGTAAATTGTTGGTGCAACGGTGACGGTAGCGGCCATGCAATTACCGGTATTCGTACTTGGCCGTGACTACAGCACATACCAGGTGGCTCTCGGTGCCAGCGCAATCCTCTACACGCCTGGCATACCGTGTCGCCCAGTCGACCAACAGCAAACATGGAATGATTCGCGTAATCATGCGACGGATGATAACGATACGCGGCACCCTCTCGATCCATCGCGATACGCGGCGTTTCGACGTCGTTCGACGCGAGTATCGTGGCTCTCGTCCTCGCGTAGCTGTACGATGACGTTACGCCTATCCATATACGCGTTTTCCCCGTGCATCAGCGCGGCCATTTCACGTGTATCCTCGCCACGATCGTGTAGTCGCTGCTGTTCTATAGTAATCGGTTCAACGGGCGCGAACGACGTAATAGCGGCGACGGCCGGCAACACGATCACTTGATCGTTGCTGATGGCATTGTCAGACGTGGCAAATGTTACGAATCGCGACACGTATGGATTTACGGACCGTAGCATTTGTCGTAGCTGTTCGCACAGTTACGTCCAACGTTCTGTCGGTAGCGTGTTCCCGCTGCTGTTCAAGATCAATCATATACACTTCTAACGGATATCGTCTCGTGCCGCCGTCGCCGCTATCGGCGACATTCGGATGTTCGCGATAATTGTCGTCGTTGTCGACAGATATTAACGGTGGTAGCAACGGTTTCAGCGTATGATATATTTGACCGGAAACTCTGAATGTCGCACATCCGCCACGTCCTCTCTGCAGTCCGGCAACGAACGTGCCACCGAACGATGTCATTGCGAACTGATCATTGTAATGACGTATATTTGCACGAAAATTACGCGCCTGTCGATTGTTTCTAGTAAATTGTTGGTGCAACGGTGACGGTAGCGGCCATGCAATTACCGGTATTCGTACTTGGCCGTGACTACAGCACATACCAGGTGGCTCTCGGTGCCAGCGCAATCCTCTACACGCCTGGCATACCGTGTCGCCCAGTCGACCAACAGCAAACATGGAATGATTCGCGTAATCATGCGACGGATGATAACGATACGCGGCACCCTCTCGATCCATCGCGATACGCGGCGTTTCTGGTCGTGATTCTCGATTACCTTGTCTTCTTCGACGATTTCTCGACGACGATGTTGAAGACGACGATGACGACGACGATGATGACGATGACGGAGATGATGGTGGTGGCGGCGGCGGCGGTGGTAGTGGTACCTGTGGTGACGATCTACTTGACGATGACCGTCGCGATAAATCNATAACCGTACAATATATGTATATAGTAAGAATTTATGTATAGTATATAAATACATATAGTATTACAAACTATATAGACGGGAAATAGTTAGATGATAATGGAAGATGATAATGACATAGCTTATAGTGGAGTAGAATTTGAAAATAACAAGGTTCGTCGATCGACGGGAAGAGTATAGAAAAACCAAACATTAATTTCGCAAAAGAGGAAAGAAATTGTGTATACAATTTTATGATTTCTTACACGTTGTTTTGCATACACTGAAAGTAATTTTTGTTTTCAATTTTTTTTTTTAGATTTTCGAGATTGACGAGTAAAAAGTTACACTAAATAGGATAATAATTGGACATGGAAATTTTGTACCTATTATATATATACTTAATCGAACACGAGAAAATGTATACAAATTGTAACAAAATCAAATGAATAAAATATATGATTTATTTTCTGTTCATTGTTCATTATTAAGAAAGAAGAAAGTTTAAGTTAAAAAAAAATAACGTCACCGGTTCTTTAAAAGCTCGTGCGAATGACCTGATCAACATTTTGGCGCAAACGGCGCTTCATTCGGCTCAAGGGCACATTTGACCCCCTTATCCAGCTAGGCCCTTAGTGAGAATCAAAACGCGCGAACCGATGCTGATTACGGATACCCCTTCTAAACCATTCGATAAAGTGGCCTTAGACACCGTTGGACCTTTACCAGCTACACGTAGTGGAAACAGGCATATTCTGACCCTTCAATGCCAACTATCTAAATTCTGTATGGTAATACCACTTCCCGACATCAAGGCAAATACCAATGCCGATGCGTTGTGTCTGTATTTCATCGCCATCCTTGGAGCCCCTCGTGTTATCCTCACGGATAGAAGTCGATCCTTTATTAATCAAACTATCGAAGGAATAGCTAAAACATTCAGGATCAGTCATGCAACTACATCAGGATATCGACCACAAACAAATGGATCTCTCGAAAGGAGTCACTTGGTATTAGTAGAATATTTGAAGCATTATTTAGAAACTCAGGAAGATTGGGACCTGCCATTACCCTTCGCTACATACGCGTACAATACTTCAACACATGAAGCGACCAACTTTACGCCGTACGAAGTTGTATTTGGACACGTAGCCAGAGATCCCTTTACACCCTTGGCACAAGACGACATATTAACCTATCCGACATACGTACAAAACCTGATA